TGCTGAGAAAAGTAGTTGTTTTCCTGGTACCGTATTTTTGGTATCATTCCTTGTATTTTTGTTATTTTTTTTTAAATACATATTCTTTGTAGAAAATTCAAATATAGCAAGATATAAAGGAGAAAGCCAAAGTGCCCCCAACGTCCAAAGACAGTCATCAGTAGTTAGTGAACATCATTTCAGTCCTTACATTTTACAAATATGGGATCATGCCTACATGCTATTTTACAAAATGTATTTTACTCTCACCATTTTATTATGGAGATATTTTCACATCAGTGAGAATATCATCCTTTTGAAGGGCTGTAGAGTATTCCATCACAAGGATATACCATAATTTAATACCTGTCTTCATCAAACACATTTGGTTGATTTACAGTTTTTTCCTGTTAAAATACTCCTGCAGTGAAACACCTTTATATCTGCCAGCTTTACACGCTGTTTAGTTTTTTCTTTAGGATAAATTCCTAGGAGAAAAATTGCTCTAGCAAAGGATGAAAGTGGAAACTATTTGGATTTACAAAAACAGGAGATGAAAACCTGGCCCTCAACCCCAGGAACTGCCAGTTGGTTGGTTACAGGTCCCTCTGGTCTTCAGTGGTACAGCCACCACAGAACCAGGAGCCATAGTGATAAGATGCCAGCTGGAACTAGTGTAGTATAAAGATAGTGCTGCAATGAAGAACTGGTACAAACCAGTAGCAGAGTGCAGCAAATGTCTATGACATTTGCAGAGTCAAAAATGAGGGTGGCCCAATTGAATGATATATTTTTCTACAAATGTGAACTATCACTCAATGACAACATTCCCTCAGTATGCTAAGCCCTGGGCCAAATACTGTACAAACACATGGAGAGAAACTCTATTTTCACACCAGCTGTGCTTTTGGTGGTTGAGCATTGTGTTTATAAGTGAAAAGATATGGAGATTGTGCAGGTCATCAGCAGCCATCCTGCTAACCTCCTGATTTTATAGATGAGGCTGTTGAGATCCAACGATGACAATTCGAGTGCCCAGAATCACTTTGCTAGAAACACAATAGTGACAAGAGCAACCCAGATCACTGTACTCCGAATCCTTTGTTCTTTCTAATAGGCCGTGAAAGTCTTTTAGAGAAGCAGCGTAGAGGCTAAAGACACAGCTTTGGAGTCGGATGGATTTAGATTAAGATCTTGGGTTCACCATTTTCTAACTATGTGACCTTTGATAAGTTACTTAATATCTCTTAGTTTTCTTATCTGTAAATGAGTATATTAACTTATAGAGTTATTAAGGAAATTAAATTAGATGATGTTTTAAAATATTTCAGCATAGTTCCTGGAAAGGTAAGTACTTAATAACTAATAAATTAATAGTAGCTATTTGGTTAGGGATACATCCTAAGTCATTTGGATTCTAAGATCATTGGATGTTCGGGCTGAAAGTGAAGAGACCTTTGGTCATCTAGCTCAATCATTTTGTTGTACAGATAAAGTAAAGTCCCTTGGAAGTTAAGTGACCCAGTTGAGATCCGTAGCTCCTCCATACAGAGCCTGGCTTTATACCCAAGTTTCCCAGTTCCCTTGAACTGCATTCTTTGTGTCCTTGTAAAATGAATGAAGCCAAAACTGTTTCTATGTGTTTCTCATGAAACTACTTCTAGGAATGTTCTGGTATCTGGCATAAACCTGCTTTTCATGTAGATTGTCACCATAGGCGTGTGGCCTTTTTTAAAGCCCTTAGAAACTGAGCTATATCAAATAATGGCTTAAGAGAAAGTACTTGCAATTTGGTCATCTTAAACTCAGGTTGGATTGATTCCCTGTGGTTTCTCTAAGGAATCTTAAAGTTTCGATAATTTTGCTTTCTTTTTTTCCGTAAGACCCTGCCTTCCCTAATTTGGCTCGATTTTCTCTCAAAATGATCTGAAATAAAGTTCTCAGGTGTTAAAAATGAAAAGTATTTCATTTTGGATTATGGTTCCCTTCATACTACAGCATTTCTATTATTTGAGGATCTATGTGTTTTCAGAATACATTATGTAAAATCAATCCTTACTTTGAAGGAAAATATCTTTTTTTTCTTTTTTCTTTTTTTTTTTTTTTTTTTGAGACGGAGTCTCGCTCTGTCGCCCAGGCTGGAGTGCAGTGGCTGGATTTCAGCTCACTACAAGCTCCGCCTCCCAGGTTCACACCATTCTCCTGCCTCAGCCTCCGGAGTAGCTGGGACTACAGGTGCCCGCCACCTCGCCCGGCTAGTTTTTTGTATTTTTTAGTAGAGACGGGGTTTCACCGTGTTAGCCAGGATGGTCTCGATCTCCTGACCTGGTGATCCGCCCGTCTCGGCCTCCCAAAGTGCTGGGATTACAGGCTTGAGCCACCGCGCCCGGCCTGAAGGAAAATATCACACTGATCTTTTGCCTTGAGGCATTTAGAGAAAATATTTACAACTTATCACCCCCAAGCTTTTACTCTTTTTTTTTTTTTTTTCTTTTTTTGGGGGAGACGGAGTTTCGCTCTCGTTGCATTGTCTGGAGTGTGATGGCATGATCTCGGCTCACCGCAACTTCCACCTCCCAGGTTCAAGCAACTCTCCTGCCTCAGCCTCCCGAGTAGCAGGGATTACAGGTGCCTGCTACCATGCCCGGCTAATTTTTTGTATTTTTAGTAGACACGGGGTTTCACCATGTTGGCCAGGCTGGTCTTAAACTCCTGACCTCAGGTGATCTGCCCGTCTTTGCCTCCCAAAATGCTGAGATTACAGGCATGAGCCACCACATCCCACCCGAAGCTTTTACTCTTGGAGGAGCAATGAGAGCTATTGTATTAATAGCTAGAAAATCACACAGGGCAAGATACAATGGAGTGCTCAGTCATCAGGCCTGAACTTCAAGTGGTAAGGATTCAGAAGAAAGAAATCAGGAAAACCTACAAAAAGGAAAGCAGTCTTGAGCTTAGAAAAAAGTATAGCATGGCATATCACAGCAGAGGCAAGAAAGGCTGACAGGGCCAAGGAAGACAGGACTTTATACATGGATGTGTCTGCATGTGTACGTGTGTATAATGAGAGATATATCAAAATTTTAAAAATCCTTCTACCCATGTCTTTTCCAGGCTTTCCAATTTTCCCATTTTCACATCTCAGCACCTAAGTGTAAGAACTTGCATGGAATAGATACTCAGTAAAACTTAACTGAATTAAATCATATTTTTAGGGTAACCGTTCCCTGACTCTGCTCACACACATACAACTTCCCATCTGTGACTCTAGTGTTATTTGTCCATCTTCTTGCTAACACGAAAACTGCATATTCCTCTAGATTTCCCTTTAGCCTATGAGTGCAGGGAGCAATAAATAGCACTGCCTTTACCTGCAAGCCCAGGTTGGAACTAGTTTTATCACTAGGGTAATGCCCAACCAGTCATACCCACTGAGCTGACAAGGCTGACTTCCCATCTACTCTTTCCCCCTCCCACAACTACATACAGTATCTAGGTACTATAATAAAAAAAAAAAAAAAAAAAAAAAAAAAAGTTTCCCATATAGCTCTCAAGTAATAAATGTCAAATAAATAAGGGGTAAGAGGGACAAGATTTGAGATTCACTGAGTTAATGCAGTTAATGAAATCATATTTCTCTGCTACCTAAAACTGATTAGATAGGAATTATGAGTAGATTTGAAGAACATTTAAGAGAATGATTTAGTTTATCTTTGAGGGATTGTTGCCTGTACAATATGATCATTATTTTATCTCTTTATTTCATTCTGTGGTATACAGTTTCTTTAAGAGAACAAGTGAAAATATTTTCCCCCAGTTTTTCAAGTGTTCGTTGAGTGGAATTGAAGTTTCAGGAACATGTTATGTTTATCCCATTGTTTTGTGTGCCCACCACTGAGTAACCTAGGGGGATATTGATCCTAATTTGAGAATAAAATCCTAAGCTATTAAGGCTCTATTTTCCTGGTCACCTAAAAAGCAGAATGTTCATCTTTGTCAGGAGTCAAAGTATTCTACATTAAGGGCTCTTCCTTTCCTAAGAGACCATTCCTGATGTTCTGTGATACTTTAATCCAGTGACTGCCTGAAACACTGGATACGATCATAGGTTATCAGTCAGATTTTCTCAAAGGAAACTCAATAATCACACATAGTGCTTTCCTTGGTGAGATTGGGAATGGTATGAATTTCTATCTGACCCTGATTATTTTCAGAAAATAGCAGGAACACTGTAGCTTCCTATCTCAAAAAAGGGGAGGGTCCAAGATACTATAACTTTAGGGGCATCCCTCCATGCACATCCATGGAAGGGTGGCACAAGCATTCTTGGATGCTATCAAACATAGTGAAGAAACAGGTGCTGTGAACAGCCCTTACTGTCAAGTACTGATAGGTGTATATTTCTAATCGTTGAGGTGAAAAGTGAGTATCCAGAATACTCAGAAGAGATTACTCAAGTATTTCCTTATAAACATCAACAGTTTTAAAGTCCAGCTGACTACATTGGCTCAACTGAATATAGAAAAGTAATAAAGAAATCCACAAAATACCTTCTGGCTTTAGACTATCGGTAGGATAATGGCAATTTGAGCTTTATATTATCCATTGATTACTTATATCACACTACATATCTGGCAGGGAAGGGATGGAGACATTTACATTTGAAAAAGAAGCTTTTTAAAAATAATAAAAACTTATTTTAGAATCTTCTTGTATTATCTTCAGTAACAAAAGGAATAGAAAACAGGGTGGTGATGGTATATCCAAATATATTTGAGTTTATTTTAGAGCCAGAAAGGACCCAAAGCAGTCAAGTGCCTGCCTTCTGCCCTCTGCCCCATCTAATCAACATTCTGCAGAAACCACACAAGATTAAATTGGTAATAGTCTCAAGCCAAACATTTGTATGTGTAGTCTAATAAATTAACATATTCTTATACATTTTTGGCTATATCTTTGCATTGTCCTTTTCAGTTATATTTTTTTCCTTACTGAAAGCTTCCTGTCCTTTTCCGCTACAGGATTATAGCTGGACAGACATCCGCTGCCCCTTTGAAAAACGAAGAGATGCAGCATGCGTGTTTTGGGACAATGTAGTATACATTTTGGGAGGCTCTCAGCTTTTCCCGATAAAGCGAATGGACTGCTATAATGTAGTGAAGGATAGCTGGTATTCCAAACTGGGTCCTCCGACACCTCGAGACAGCCTTGCTGCATGTGCTGCAGAAGGCAAAATTTATACATCTGGAGGTTCAGAAGTAGGTAAGGACTCCTTAAGTATTTTGGTTTGGGGCAAATGCTTTAAAGCCAAGTATCTTGGCTTTCATATTTAAATAAACAGCTGGTATTATTTCTCCAGGTACTTTCTTGGTAATTTAAATACGTGTTTGTCACATTTTAGAGCTCATCTCCCTGAAGGTTTATCTCATTCCTTTACAAACTATTAAATTACAGAATTTAGCTTCGTAGATTAATGGTCCATTTTTTATCATAATGAAGCATTAGTTGACACTATCAGAATTATAGTTCTAAATTAGTTATTTGGGCTACATAATATTTGTTTTAAAGATTTCAGAGTTCAACTTTTAGACTCTTTAAGAACTCATTACTGTATTCAGGCTTTTAAAATTTGTATTATTTTTGCTTTTTATTAGAAAAAATAATGCTCTTTTTCATTCGTTTTATTCTTTAAGTTTTTAATGACTGTAATGGTATTCATGCTTATGAGCAGAATGGGGTGTGGGTGTGGATATAAAAACCTTTCTTATTGAATCGTGTGTTAGTGTCCAGTAGTGCTCTTTTTCTAAATGAATAATTTTTCTAAATGAATATTCTAGGTGCAGACTAGACACATAATAGCTTTTGTATGCTTTCATTTTCAAGTAATTTCTTCAGCATAAATAATGGGCTAATAAAGAAAACTAGGAAGACCAAGTAAACAGTTATACTTTTGGTCTGCATACTTAGGTTTTTACCCCCAACTATATGTCAAATGAATAAAAAAAAATCATTTCCTAATTGTAACCATTTTCTCTCTTTAAAAGCATTCTTCACGGGCTGTTATAATGTAGAATATTTCAAATACAAAAAATAAATCCTAAAGATGATAGACAGTAACTATTCTGTGGTACTGCAGATAACTTCATTTCTTCAGCCTTTGCTAAGTGTGTTTTTAGCTTAAATAGTTTTTTTTAATTTACTATATACTATATATTTTCCCATGGTGTCCACCCACTGAACCTACCAAATCAGAAATGTTTAAAAAGTTAAAAATAAATTATTTTTGGTCATGACCATTGCTTCTTCTAGTTGTTATTTTCTGATCTTTACTTTTCACAGACCTTAGTTGCAATGGAGAATTATAAAGGTGATGTTGTTTTTAAATCATTTGATATTAGCCCAGAATGGTGGGAGATGAGAAATAGTTTGGTAACTTCTAACATTTTTTGTCCTTGGGAAAGAAAAAAAAAAAAAAAAAAGCACTTAATCTTTAATAGTATCATTTCTAAAATTTTTTATTGAACTCCTGCAGTGTGTAGAAGTTTCAAAACATGATGAATGTATGTTTTGCCTTTAGGTTGTGTAATCAAAATACATCAGAAATATACATCAGTATTTTGAGAATATACTCAAGCAGGGACCAGTGTGATTTCAGGAAATACCACACTGAGAATAGTTAGGAAGTATAGTTTTGTTAATGGTGCTATAGCTATTCCAGAATATTAAATAAGAATATGATCAGATAGTAATTTTCGTATTTTAAGGTGTGGGTCTACCATCTGTCAGGAACTATTATGCTTTTCCACTTTATATAAACATTTGAAGCATGGATAATTCCCGTCATGCATAACGGGGCTTGAAGACATATATTAGGCTTCGTATTTAATTTTTCTTTTGAAATAAAATTTCTTTTTCTAAAGTTTAATTACCAATAAATAAGTCTTTCCAACAGATCCTTTTAAGGATGTTTTCCAGGGTCTATACAAACAGGATTATTAGTGTTTTCTTAAACTATTCCTACACTTTGTTGTTGTTGTTGTTGATTGAGTATGAAAATGGCCCTATGACCCTAAATTCTTCCTTCCTTAACTAGTAAGATCGACAGTCAGTTCTCTCCAAACCCCCGCACACACTAAAGTTAAGTATGATGGGGCCTTTTTCTTTTACAGGAAACTCAGCTCTGTATTTATTTGAGTGCTATGATACGAGAACTGAAAGCTGGCACACAAAGCCCAGCATGCTGACCCAGCGATGCAGCCATGGGATGGTGGAAGCCAATGGCCTGATCTATGTTTGTGGTGGAAGTTTAGGAAACAATGTTTCTGGGAGAGTGCTTAATTCCTGTGAAGTTTATGATCCTGCCACAGAAACGTATGTATCTATTTAAAACTTATTTTACAGTTAATTGTATTCTATAAGCTCTGTAGGAGATGTCAAAAGACCAGAGGAACCCAACAGAAGAATTTTGTCCTTGAGTGAAGAGTGTATATAAACTTTTAAGTGTGCTAGGCTCAAACAAAATGTTTTTGTTTGAGCGGTCAGGAAATGTAGAGGAGGAGGGGGGAATTTATGATCAGCAATAAATTTGTCCTTAATTAGAAATAGATTTGTCCTTAAATAGAAATATTAGACACTGGCTCATGACATTAATAAATCATGCCTCCCTAGTTCTTTTTAGGTGGTAACTTCCTAAGTATGTTTAGATTCATGTTTATTAAATAAAATTATTCTTAAATCAACTGCTTTTAAAAAGGCAAAGTGTATCAAAAAGGTAAAGTGCTAAAGAAATAACTGGTTAGCCAGTTTTTCTGACCTTGTAGTTAATGATGGAACACATTCAATGTGGCCAAAGGAAATGTGCTAATCATTGAATAATGGAGAGGAGACAAGGGCAGGGGTTGTGAGTAGTGACATTAAAGCTGATGAGGACATAAAACAGATGATACCCTAGTTGTACCTTTTATGGAAACATCCAAAGAGCTTTGATAAGAAAAGTCACTTGATCATATGGCTGAATTGCCCATTGTTCTTCCCTTACTAGAACAAGTTACTGGGTAAATATGTTCACTACAATGTTGTGCCAGAGTTGCATCAAAACTCTGGTGCTTGAAGTTTTATATTTAGGAAATATTGCCAAAGTACAAAACATGGAAGTCTTCAACTCCAGCTGCTGCTTTTTTAATAATTAAGAAATAAGAGACCAGGCACGGTGGCTCATGCCTGTAATCCCTGCACTTTGGGAGGCTGAGGCAGGCAGATCACTTGAGGTCAGGAGTATGAGATCAGTCTGGTCAACATGGCAAAACCCTGTCTCTACTAAAAATACAAAAACTAGCTGAGTGTTGTGGCACATGCCTGTAATCCACTACTTGGGAGGCTGAAGCAGGAAAATTGCTTGAACCCAGGAGGCAGAGGTTGCAGTGAGCCAAGATCGTGCCACTGCACTCCAGCCTGGGTGACAGAGCAAGACTCCATCTCAAAAAAAAAAAAAAAAAAAAAAAAAGAAATAAGAGTTTAATTATAAAATATGATTAATTATGTGCATTTATCTATTTATGACTCCCACCTATTTTTAAAAGATTTAAGGAAGCATAATCAATAACTTCTTTCCAATGCAAATAATAGAAAAGCAACTTGTCTTGAAATTTGCCTTTTGTTAAAGATGTTTACCAACTTTGCTCCCTTTCATGTGAACCTCTACCTTACTTCCCATAAACCCTAGGTTCAAAAAGTGTAACAGCATACTAGTTGGAAAACTGATTCATTCTGCTGTCTAATTATTTTTTATTTCTAAAAAATCTCTTAAAAGAGAAGCCATAACCATAAAAACTCCAGGTTTCTAATTTTTTACATCTTTATTCAGGCACTATCAATGTAAATTAGTATTGATTTTTTACTTACTTTTGTTCAAAGTAAAAATATAAAGGAGTTCTGCAGCTTCTGCATTTTTTAAAACTAGGTGAATATTCAGTTTCAGGAATATTTAAAAACTTACAAGACCTAACATTTCTTTCATTTTACATATATTGAGCTTAAATTTCAATTCTCTGTGTTCCCTTCAATGCCTTTAAATTTTCACAAATGAAAAGCTAGTATGAATATAATTATCCAACTCTCAAAATAAATGTTATATTATTTCCTTTTAAAAATGTTACCTAGTCCAGGTGTGGTAGTTCACACCTGTAATCCCAGCACTTTGGGAGGCCGAGGCTGGTGGATCATCTGAGGTCAGGAGTTCGAGACCAGCCTGACCAACATGGTAAAACTCTGTCTCTACTAAAGATACCAAAAAAAATTAGCCAGGCATGGTGGCACGTGCCTGTAATCCCAGCTATTCAGGAGGCTGAGGCAGGAGAATCGTTTGAACCCGGGAGGTAGAAGTTGTAGTGAGCTGAGATCACACCATTGCACTCCAGCCTGGGCAACAAGAGTGAAACTCCGTCTCAAAAAAAAAAAAAAAAAGTTAGCCAGCCAAGTTATTTTTTATAAGAATTTCTTCCCAATTTTGACATTTTAAGTGTTTTACAATTAGAGTGTGTTTAATTGGAAGCTGAAAAACTGAGCCTATGGACCATAGAAATACAAATAACACATGTTGTCACTCATGTGGGAGCTAAAAACGTTAATCTCATGGAGGTAGAGGGTAGAATGATGGTTATCAGAGGTTGGTTAACAAGTATAGAAATACAGTTAGGGTAAATTCTAATAGTAGTACAGTAGGGAGACTATAGTTAACAATAATTTATTGCATATTTCAAAATAGCTAGAGAAGAACTGGAATGTTCCCAAGACAAAGAAAAGATATTCCTCAGCAGCCACATGGGAGGCCTGGGTTCCTTCCCTAGCCCAAAAAGAAACAAAAAGGAAAGATAAATGTTTGCGATGATAGATAATGCAGTTACTCTGACTTAATCATTACACATGGTATACATGTGTCAAAATATCACAGGTACCATAAAAATATGTACATGTATTATGTATCGCATTTTTAAAATCAATTTTGAAAAAGATGGAGAGGAGCAGAAGCTCATAATAAAGTAACAAACTGAAGAAAGAAATTATGCCTGTGGAAACAATGTGACACAGTTTGAGCTGTCAGAATTTTAAGAAACGCTTGCTTTTTTTTTTTTTTTTTTTTTTTTTTTTTTTTTTGAGACAGAGTCTGGCTCTGTCACCATGGTAGAATGCAGAGGCATGATCTCAGCTCACTGCAACCTCTGCCTCCCAGGTTCAAGCGATTCTCCTGCCTCAGCCTCCTGGGTAGCTGGGATTACAGGTGCACGCCACCACACCGGCTAATTTTTGTATTTTTAGTAGAGACGGGGTTTCACCATGTTGGCCAGAATGGCCTCGATCTCTTAACCTCGTGATCCGCCTGCCTCGGCCTCCCAAAGTGCTGGGATTACAGGCGAAGAAATGCTTCTAAACATTAAACTTAAGATTGCAGATAGCAGGGACCTAGTTCGTCCTCCACATGTGAATTATAGAAGGAAGGGGAATTTGTGAAACTTTTTTCTAAACCTTCAGGAGATTTAGATATACATAAATACATGCTCTCTTTTTGTATCATTAACATAGTATATGGAGAAGAAAGTGATATGTAAATGGAATTTTTCCAAGTCAAATACTATGTTTAATGCATGATGATAGCTCAGTCTATAAATCTCACTGCATGCAGGGCAGTAAAGACCTAGTTTTTACTGCTTTCCCACTTCCGAGCTGTATGCCGGTCATTTCACCTGGATGAGGGTGTTTTTCCTAAAAACAGGAGCCATGCTGTCCACCTCACCTTAACAGAGTACTTCGAAAATGAGAGTGGTGACTGTCAAACCATTTTTAAAACAATATAATGTAAGACAAAAGAATTGTTAATATTTCAGAGTTAATCATGGTGCCCTAATTACGTTTTATAAAGTTAAATTCATCAAATTGTTTTGTTTGTTTGTTTGTTTGTTTTTTGAGACAGAGTCTCGCTCTGTCGCCCAGGCTGGAGTGCAGTGGCGCGATCTCGGCTCACTGCAAGCTCCACCTCCCGGGTTCACGCCATTCTCCTGCCTCAGCCTCCCGAGAAGCTGGAACTACAGGCGCCCGCCACCGCGCCCGGCTAATTTGTATTTTTAGTAGAGGCGGGGTTTCACCGTGTTAGCCAGGATGGTCTCGGATCTTCTGACTTCATGATCCACCCGCCTTGGCCCCCCAAAGTGCTGGGATTACAGGTGTGAACCACCGCGCCTGGCTGGCCATCAAATTGTTTTAAAGAAGAAATATAAACAATAATTATAGAGAGTTACACTTATGCCAAGTTTCCCTTTTGTTGTTGTCCTTACTGTTGTTTGGAGTCTTTTGGTTTAAGTTAGCTGCTAAAAGCACAAGCCTATGTGCCAGTACCACCTTCACAATCACAAATGTCAGACTTGGGAGTGTATGCAGAAGAAGGTATTAAATCTCAGAAAAAAAAATAACTAAACTCTATTGTCTGTGTATATATGTATAATGCTGCTACTTGTGAATTAATATCCTTTAACTCTTGTGTCCACATTTATATTCTCAGCTTCATTATTTATAATAGTGGCTGTGAACAGAGCACCATGAGTTACTAAACTTGACAGAATGATAGTACTTTTTTGTTACCAGAGCAACATAGACTTCTTAATGTAGATTTAAAGATGGACATGTGAATAGTAACAGATACTATTAATTTCCTGATTGCCTGAGGCCCATTATAAGTTTGTGTTTTACTTACACATGTATAAATAATAATTAAAGCTACGTGTGATAGAACTAGTTCATATTTCCTGCCAGCAGAGGTGTGAAGAAAGAAAAAAGAATTATTTCTTTATCTTCTAAGTATCTTCCTCTTCTTTTTTGTTCCCATATTACAAGTTTTTATGAACCTCAGGAAATGGATTTCCTCTAAAAATGTGTTTTTTAATAGTCAGATATCCTCATTTTCTTATATCCTATCAGAATTGAAAGGAATAAAATCCCTGTTTACCCCATTTATTAATAAATTACCCATAATCATTGTTAAACTTTTGTTTTCTACCCTTCTAGACATTTTGTGTGTATATGTACACATATGTGAGTAGTAAATAAGCACTTAATTAGAATAATAGACCTTTCTTATTAGTATGAGTTCTTTTACTTCCTGTAAACAAGCACACTAAAATCTTTAATTTTTTCAGATGGACTGAGCTGTGTCCAATGATTGAAGCCAGGAAGAATCATGGGCTGGTATTTGTAAAAGACAAGATATTTGCTGTGGGTGGTCAGAATGGTTTAGGTATGTGATGTTAATTCACTGTTCCACTTTCCTGATGAGTTTGCTGATACTTCCTTAAATTATTGAAGCATTTTTTTTAAATCTAGATAGCATTTGCCATGCATATTATTATATCTATTTTTATAGTTTCTGGGAATTAACATACTTGATAAAATATCGCAGGATGTTAAACATTCTTGTTTATGAAATGTCGCAGTGGTCACCAGTCATTGTGACAATTTTAGATGGCTGCTATACATTTCCAGATACCTCCTGGGGAATGATGTCACACCAGCTTAAGAACTATTGAGCAATAGAAATATGTGAACCTTAAAAAACCTTTAGAAACTTTTTAAATACAAGTTTTAAGGCTTGTATGCAGGGCCTAAATGGTAAAGTTTCCTAAATATTTTTAAACATTGCATGAAAATATCAATATTGTAATTTTTTTTTTTTTTTTTTTTGAGATGGAGTCTCGCTCTGTCGCCCAGGCTGGAGTGCAGTGGCGCGATCTCCGCTCACTACAAGCTCCGCCGCCTCCCGGGTTCATGCCATTCTCCTGCCTCAGCCTCCCTAGAAGCTGGGACTACAGGCGCCCGCCACCACGCCCGGCTAATTTTTTTTGTATTTTTAGTAGAGACGGGGTTTCACCGTGTTCGCCAGGATGGTCTCCATCTCCTGACCTCGTGATCCACCCGCCTGGGCCTCCCAAAGTGTTGGGATTACAGGCGTGAGCCACCGCACCCGGCCCAATATTGTAATTTTTAAATGACTAAATTTGGCATTTTATATTCGTAAATGATGTACTAAAGAATCTTAAATAATTTTATTAAATGAAAGAGAGTCGGAACTGAATCTAGACACAAGCTTCATTTTAGTCAGTACATTAAAGCATTACTTAAATGTAACAAATAACGTCTTTTGCTTCTTGTGTCCCCGCCCATTGCTATTTTCCATAAAGTGCTAAAAGATAAGAGGGAAAAGAAGGACATTTGAATAATTATAGTCAAAGTTAATCAGAGGGGAAATCACTGATCTGTTTATTTTGCATTTTTCCAGAATAGATAGAATATGTTTAATTTTGTAGAAAAAAAATCAATATTTAAAAAGAAATATTAAATTTCTATTGTGTTAAAATAAGAGTAAGAATTTAGGTGGTGGCTATGTGGACATTCATTGTAAAATGATTACAATTTTTCTGTGTGTTTGAAAATTTTCACAATAAAATATTGGAAAAATACAAAAAGTTATTACTTTAAGAAACCTTAGAATTTTTCATACAGTTTTTCATGTTGTTCATGTTTTATTCTTTTAAAGGTGGTCTGGACAATGTGGAATATTACGATATTAAGTTGAACGAATGGAAGATGGTCTCACCAATGCCATGGAAGGGTGTAACAGTGAAGTGCGCAGCAGTTGGCTCTATAGTTTATGTCTTGGCTGGTTTTCAGGGTGTTGGTCGATTGGGACACATTCTCGAATATAATACTGAAACGGACAAATGGGTTGCCAACTCCAAAGTTCGTGCTTTTCCAGTCACAAGTTGTTTAATTTGTGTTGTCGATACTTGTGGAGCAAATGAAGAGACCCTTGAAACATGAAAAATGAGTGGACTTCAGAATCATCAGAGACTCAAAAATATAGCCACCAGTGCTTTGTTCCAAGAGTTTGGTGACAAAGTTTTGGTTTGGTGTTTTGGTAAAGAAAGTTTCAAGTGAAATGAGGTTCCTATTCAATAGATGTTTCTTTTATATGGATTTCCTTAATTCAAAGATCATATTTTAGCTGACCACAAAACCAAGAACATATCTAGCAAGAAAACTTGAAAAAGTATAAGCATTTGTTAAAAATATGAATTTCTTGAATGAATTTCACATTTGTAACTATGATTTTGGCAGAATGGCAGATTGGCTCATCAGTGAAGCGCAGTATCTTAGCTCTAGATTCTGTTTTCATGCATCACAGAAGTGCTACGTGGTTAGGTCTGTTTGTGCTCAGTCAAGAACTAAGAAATAGTATGAACTGTAAGTCAAGATGGGCAACTCAGATGGAGCAGCTTAGTCTCACATAGTTTGCTTGTCTTTATTTATTTTTCTAGTGCCAAATGTATTCCATTTTTAAAGTAAGCCAGAGTGAGTCAAGGCATATACACACTTTCTCAAAAAACTTCCTAAACAGATTTGGGGGTTTAATGTGTCCAACTCCTCATGAAATGTATTCGATCCACTTAAATATATTCCATATTTTTAACACAAAATGTAAAGCTTAGCACCAATCATTAATTTATGTATGTTTTATTCAGTGGTTAAAAAAGGATTCTGCCTCTTTAGTCCTCACTGTTAAATAAAATCCAATCATAATAAGTGATTAACTAGCAAAAGGTTAAGCTATTTATAGCAAATTTCTAGATCATTAGAAAATCACTGGTAGTTGTACCACAATATCAGTGTTGACTTTGAACTTCTTTAAAGAGATCATGAATTATTTTCCCTTAGCCAAAACATGAGATATTTAACCTAGTTGTCTCTAAAAGTTTTGTAATCATGAGTTATATATATGTCATCTCCTATTCATTGCTTTTATGTGATCAATAAATCTTTTACAAACCCAACTACTCATTTCTTTTTTAGTAATACTTTGCCTTTTTCACTGTGTATGGAATGAACCATGTAAAGCTGTCACCATCAATGTTTTTATCTGATAATATTAAATATTTTTTAACTTAAAATAGGCCACTCAATTTATTCGTTCTTCAAGTATGTTAGGTAATGGCTGTTTTTAGAATTTGTGAAGCAGTGTCTCTTAATTTTCAGTTTTCTTTATACAGAGGTTATAATAGTCTTAAACCCTAAAAATGTTTAAATCAAAAAGGAATTAGGAAAAACATAATGATAGCTATATTTCTATTTGTGTAGGTTTTTTAATGTACAGAACAGCTTTATTGAGATATAATTCACATACCATACAGTTCACCATTTAAAGTATACTATTCAGGCCAGGCACAGTGGCTCACGCCTGTAATCCCAGCATTTTCGGAGGCCAAGGCAGGTAGATCATTTGAGGTCAGGAGTTCAAGACCAGCCTGGCCAACATGATGAGACCCCGTCTCTACTAAAAATAGAAAAATTAGCCAGGTATGGTGGTGCGCACCTGTAGTCCCAGCTACTCAGGAGGCTGAGGCAGGAAAATTGCTTGAACCTGGGAGGCAGAGGTTGCAGTGAGCTGAGATTGTGCCACTTGATTCCAGCCTGGGCAACAGAGCAAGACTCCTTCTCAAAAGAAGAAAAAAGCAAAATACAAACATAAAAAGGAAAACATAGGGCCCCCAATCCAGTATGACCTTACTTTAATTACACCTGTAAAGACCCCATTTCCAAACGAGGTCACATTCTGAGTTTCTGGGTAGACATGAATTTGGGGAGACGCTGTTCAACACAGAAAACCTCCCAAATACCATAGCCCTAGGCAACCACTAATCTACTTTCTGTCTCTAGATTTGACTATTCTGAACATTTTTAGTAGGGTTTTCAATTTTGTACTCTAGTGAAAAATGTGTCTACTTTAATTTTTTTTGAGGATGAAATATTCATTTATTATATTAAAATATAGCTATATAATTTGACAATCTCCTATGTAGAATATACAGTACCTGTTTGAGATATTTTAAGTACACTAGCATTTCCTTTTAGGCTGTGTCAATTGACTAGAACACACTAGTAAATACATACACAGGTTTGGTGTGGATTATAATGAAGTAGTTTTTTTCCTTAGTAATCTGTATCATAATTCCTAATTAGTGTCTTTTTCTGCCTTGGAAATTTCTACAGAATTGTCAATATCAGGATAGTGGGTAAAAGTACACCCACCATACTGACAAGCACATTTTCTATTTTGTTCCCCAAAACTTCCTGTCCTGTAAAGTGCTCTGCTTGCTTTTTAGTAGACATTTGATAAGTTAATGTTATATCCTTTGCAGTGATACTATTTTGATGACAAAGTAATTCAGTTTATGCTTTCAAAAATCACAATTTGGACAGAAAAGTTTAGCATCTTTAAAAAATTGTTGCTATTAAAAAAAAAAAATACACTTGTGACTTTGTGGCCTAGCTGGCAAAAACTTGACATATCGTCCCATGAAAATTTTGAGTCATGAATTATTTTGACATGACAGTATTACTAACAAAATCAAAATCAGCCATTTAATAAAGAATTATTCCACCAAGCAGTCTATATTCCTTTTGCCATATATACTGTTAACAGCAAAAATTTTGGATTTGCTACATATGCACGGGTAAAGGAGGTATTCAGAGGAAATTTTGCTTTCTAAGGTTATACCAAAGACTTGAGAAAATCCAATTTACTCCCACATGGCACCAAACCAGCTCTCACTGAGAGTCATTATTTGGACTCTTTTAAGTCCAAATAATTTGTCCTTTTAATGAAAGGACATTTTACAGGTGGCATCATTCAGCATTTGATAAATTCTTCCTTTAAATATCCTCCTCCCGGCCGGGCGCGGTGGCTCAAGCCTGTAATCCCAGCACTTTGGGAGGCCGAGACGGGCAGATCACGAGGTCAGAAGATCGAGACCATCCTGGCTAACATGGTGAAACCGCGTCTCTACTAAAAAATAAAAAAACTAGCCGGGCGCGGTGGCGGGTGCCTGTAGTCCCAGCTACTCGGGAGCCTGAGGCAGGAGAATGGCATGAACCCGGGAGGCGGAGCTTGCAGTGAGCTGAGATCCCGCCACTGCACTCCAGCCTGGGCAACAGAGCAAGACTCTGTCTCAAAAAAAAGAAAAAAAAATCCTCCTCCCTCTTTACAGTTGCCTCAAAAGACTTTAAAAAGCTTGAATCCACTTTTATCTTCCTAACCTTCCTCCTTCCCAAGATGATTCACACTACTTTAGAAAAAATTAAAATTAAAAAAAAAAAAGAAATCTGTGCTGGGAAATTGTTTGAAATGTTGCCCTTATTAACTAGAAATCTTTTTACTCTCCAGAGCTTTACGCCCTCTCTCATAACAGATTTAAAATGAGGTTCAAGATCTAGTTTGAATCTTACAGAAATTCCCTCAAACATTATCTTCTAACCCTCTTTAATTTGCTCCCACTATCTATGTTTTCCAAGAGTACTTTATTTCTATAGTTGTTCTTTTGTACCGTATGCCATTCTTGTTTCATGTTATCCTCTCTGGTGATATTTTAGTTTCTTTAACTTTTAAAATATTTTGGTGTTTTTGTTTTCTCTAACTTCTTTTTCTGTTTCTTTGCTGTGCTCTTTCCTATTGGCGTCTGCCTTCAAATGTCTAGTCCCTGACTGTGCATTTGTATTTATAATGAGACATTTGAAAATTGATAATTCAGGGGTACAAGGGTGAGCTTAATCAGTGAACTTCATTATATGATGAGGAGACGGCCAACTATTTTTGTTGCTGGTCCATAAGAGATACATAGGTATTTTTCTGGGCTGTTTGACTCACCATTCAATAAGCATAAGCCCTCTCTGTACCTTATGTCCTAGAATCTGAAGTGTCTCTTGTTCCCTTTTACTGGGGGAGGAATCCTATCTCCTATCAAGTTGAGACAGTTGTGTCATCCAATTGGAAGGGGAGGCAGCAGTATTTTTACTCTGCCATCTTGAAGAAATCAGAAGTTTCCTTCCTGTAACCCCACTCTCCTGATTTCCACCTATACCCATCACCAAACTAATCACTACCAAGTTCTGCAAGCCCTAGGCTCTCCTTGTCTCACACACACTCCACCTAGACAGTCTCAACCGGCATTCTGACCTTGCCCCTCTCTACTTTCACCAAGCACTGGGCTTATCCTCACTTAAGTTTCAGCCACCACTGGTATTATTTTAGGTATCTAATCCCAGCAGAGTCCTTATACATGCTGACATTTGCAGGAATGAGAAGTCAGTGGCTACAAAGCAATTCTGGTTAACACAAGGAGATAATAAAATAAATATATTAAGGTTAATGAAAGCCAAGTTTCTTGTTATCAATGGAGTTAAAAATAGAGGAAAATAAAATGAATCATGTGATTTTGGATTGAAATTGGAGATTATCAGTGTGAACTCAAGTTTTTTCTTTTTTTTCATAGTCTTTGATATAGAAGACATAATAGTTTTAATATATAAAATATAGAAATGTTTGATGTAAATGTTTGTGTTTGTTTATACTTATGTATTTCCCAGCAATGTTCATGAGAGCAAAGACATCCCAGTAGCAATAAGCACATTAAAGCTCAGCTTTTGGTTTCTAAGCAGCACCAAAAGGACCCCTGGAGAAATAACTGATTTCAGGACTGGAGTAGAGAATGTAAAAATGAGCCTGGAACATGTCTAGATCAGAAAGTAAAAAAGTGCTCAAGTAATCATGGTGATTTTTTTTTCCTTTTTCAAAAGTGCAAAGGAGCTTAAAGGGGCTCCCGCTGGCCAAATTGGAGATGATTTGAGCATCAAAATAAATAATGATAGTAATGGATTATAACCCACTGAGTAACATTAGAAATCATGAGTCCATACTGATATGAATAAATAATGAGCTAAAAGTTGAATGAACAATCAGATTTTTAGATACTTTCAAAGTACCTCCCCACAAAATTCTTATTAATAACAAAAAGGAAAAGAATAACTTTATGGGAGAGCGGCTTGGCAGACACCACCTTAAGCAAGTGATCAATTGAGTATCACAAGTAACAGGACAAATTGAAACTGTGCACAACCTGCAATGTGAAAACCGCAGCATCACTTCTGTGATAATCCTGCCAAAGATGCATAATCTGAATCTAATCAAGAGAAAACATCAAACAGACCTGCACTAAGGAACTTCTACAGTATAACCAGCCTGTAGTCTTTAATGGTGTCAAGGTTATGAAAAGGAAAAACAAAAAAATCTTCCAAATTGAAGGAGACAAAAGAAATATGCCTAAGCAACAATGATTCTGAACTGAACCCTTTTCCTCTAAAGGACAATATTGGGACATTTGGCAAAACATAAATGGAGTCTAAGGATTAGAGAGTAGTAGTGCATCAGTATCAATGTCCTAATTTTGTTGATTGTGTTGTGGTTATATAGAATGCCCTGGTTTGTTTGTAGAAAATATACAGTAAGTATTTGGATGATGGGGCATTAGGTCTGCAACATAGTCTCAAATGGTTCAGGAAAAAAGTTCTTTGTACTGCTATTTGTAACTTTTCCATAAATTTGTTTCAAAATAAATGAATTGCCTTGATTAAAGAAAATAAAAAACTAGTTTGGACAAGTAGTTCCCGTCCTGTAGATTCTGTCTTCAAAATCCAAACAAATTACATGAGCAAGAATGATGGCTCACTCCCAGCCCAATAATCCTAAAACCACCAGCACAAACCTGTAAGCCAACAAAGTCAGATTTATTGACTTATTGCAATCAAGAAGACTGCACACCAGAGGAGCTGTGGGGTGTCTCACCGTACAAAATAAAAGGTAGTTATTGTATGTTTTGGCAGGGAGAGTGAAGTTTAGGTGAAATTTAAATGAAATCTCAAAACATAGCTGTGTGTAAAGGCATTAACATCAGGTCTGGACGAGAACTGAATGTAGGGCATGTTTCCTTGGAAACTGCAAAGTTAAGAAAATATATAATGTTTTCAGAAACCGTTTATATGAATGAAGCTCTACACCTAGGTAGAAATTGAGGCTGCTTCTCTGCGTCAGAGAGACTTAGATCCTCCAGGCAAGGATGGGACGTTTCACTGGTTCTGATATAATTTCAAATAGCAACGTTTATGTGGACTTGAAAGAACAAGGTTTCTGAGTGTGTAGTAAGAATGTACTACTCACTCAAAGGGGTAATACTTTTCCGTTGCAGTATGTCCTAAAAGAAACATTGTTTCCTCTTAACGTCACGTCTGGCTTTATTTGACTCTGTTATCCATTCAGATGAAAGGCTGGGCATTTTGTTACTTTCTCAACCCAAGCTAAGTTTTACTGTCTTAGCAAGAACGACTCGGTCTCGCAAATCATAGCTAAGTCTCCTCTCAGGGTCTTGCTGAAGTTGTGCGTTTGCTTGCTCCGCTTTCCCCTCATTTTGGGCCTCAAGCCTTCCTGTAGTCCGAGGCCCTGCACCGGGGTCAAACGCGCCTCCGGTCTTCACGTAACCGTTCAAGCATCCCGCCTTCCCAGGACACACTCAAGCGTCAGAGCGGTCCGCTCTTCTCAAATCTTATTGGCTCAAGTCCACGCGTCTCATGGCACTGGGGGGGTGAGACAGGTTCCCCCGGCGCGAGAAGATGACGTCACAGTAGCCCGGCCGGGCGCGGAAGTTGCCTGGGGCTCTCTGCCCAGTAACTGGCATCCACCGGTGCCGACCGAAGACCCCTCCGTCGGCAGCGCAGTTGCAATGGCCATTTGTCAATTCTTCCTTCAAGGCCGGTGCCGCTTTGGAGATCGGTGCTGGAACGAACATCCTGGTGCCAGGGGTGCAGGAGGAGGACGGCAGCAACCGCAGCAGCAGTCTTCAGGTGAATGTCCTCTGCATCCTCCGCGGTAACCGAGCCGTGAAGGGCCGGCTGGCGGGGACCGGACGTCCCACTTGTGTCCCAGTGCTGGTGACCCCAACGTGCCCGCATCGCTGCCTTGCCGGCCCCAATGGGCCCTGCACAACGTTTTTAAACCGAGGGTTTTATCTACATATTATTCATGGGGTCCGTTTTTATTGAGCTTCAGAGGACCTGGGTTTGGGCCTGGATGCTTTTGCGAAACTGAGTTTTTAAATCGGAATTAAGTATCGAAACTACCTTGTAGGTAAATGCCGTAATTGAATATAATTATTACTAAGTTGTTTTTTCGAGGGTGAGGCTAGCAGCTTGGGTCAGAATCAGGACTTCATTTGGGATAAGTCGTGGACTTCTTTGAAAATCTAATAAAACCGGCCAGGTGCGGTGGCTTACGCCTGTAATCCCAGCACTTTGGCAGGCCGAGGCGGGCGGATCACGAGGTCAGGAGTTCGAGACCAGCCTGACCAACATGGTGAAACCCCCGTCTCTACTAAAAATACCAAAAAAAAAATTAGCCGGGCGTGGTGGCGCGCGCCTGTAATCCCACCTACTCAGGAGGCTGAGGCAGGAGAATCGCTTGAACCCGGGAGGTGAAGGTGGCTGTGAGCCAAGATCGCGCCACCCAACTCCAGTCTGGGCGACAGAGCGAGATTCTGTCTCAAAAAAAAAAAAAAGAAAAGAAAAGAAAATCTAATAAAACCTATAGAGCCATACCGCAGAAAAAATGCACCTGCTCATAAATTTGGGGTGAAATCGGGAAGGTGGGAAGTCCAGTAACTCTCCGGGAGATGAGGAAAGGGGATGTGGGGGCCTCGTTAATCTAATCCCTGGGCCTAGATCATTGTCAAAGCTTTTTATCTTAAAGGAAAGGAGAGATTAGACGTGAAACCTTAGAACAACACAAGATTTTAAAGATCGGGTTAATAATTAGGTGCTGCCTCCCTTCCTTCCCCTCCTTTAGGGCTCTTCATGTGATGTGATGTGGTGTGGTGTGGTGTGGTGTGATGTGATATTTTGAGACAGCCTCTTGCTCTCTCAGGCAGCTCACTGCGACCTCCACCTCCCAGGCTCAAGCGATTCCCACGCCTCAACCTCCCGAGTAGCTGGAATTACGGGTGCCCGCCACCATGCCCTTGAAAAGTTTTGTATTTTTAGTAAAGACAGGATTTCGCCATGTTGGCCAGACCGGTCTTGAACTCGTGACCTCAGGTGATCCGCCCGCTTCGGTCTTTCAAAGTGCTGGGATTACAGGCGTGAGTGACCGCGGCAGGCTACGTCTAACCTTTAAACCTTGTATTGCTTGATGGTTTCACGTCTGATCCCACTTAAGGGAAGACAGTCCTTTTATTTCATCCACAATTAATCTAGTGAAATATTTCAAACCAAAAATTAGGACTCAGGTCTGAAGAATGTGAGTGTAAACAAAATTTAGCAGACAAACTTTGTATTTAGCTCCCAGAAACAAATGAATGTTTCTAGAATTTTAAGTATGAAGACCAAAAGCAATATTTAAAAAAAAAATAAAAAAAAGGAGGAAGTGAGTTTCTTCAGTTATATCATACCCCAGTGAAATTTGGAATTTTAGAAGAAGATACCATTAACTCCTACTTGAAGGATCTGGTCTAGCAATCTCCACTTTTTTGTTGTTGTTGTTATTATTAGGGTAGTTTAGAGTTGCAGGATGAACTTTCACAACTGGGCATGTTTGTCATTCCAACTTTTGATATATTTAATGGCTTATCTCCTAATTCAGTCAGAAACAAGATGAATTACCTTAATCTTGGCCCCAACAAGGAAGTGATGAGTAAATGAGATTGCTAAAGTGATTTTAAAAAACAAAACCAATATGTAAACAGAGGAGATAATCTTCATTTTGATATTTATGAAATATTGGAAAGCTACTCATAGAGGAACTACATGCATTTTGTTCACATGTAAATACCATGTATAATCTCTCCGTGAAAATAGGTGTGTAGGTGCTTGCCCGGAGAAAAGACTGCATCAAATAGACTTAAGCATCTGTCCAAAAACAGAGGGTAGAATCTAATCTTTCATATTCAAGAAACTAATTCAATGTCCATTTTTCAGCCTTTACTACAATATAGGACCTGGTGGGGGAGCAAAGAATGATAAAAACACAAGTTTTTATCCTGAAGGAGTTTATGATTTATGATGCATGCCTTCTGTCAACTCGACTATCAAGCAGTTGTTTATTTAATAAGCTTTGTCAGCTGAATTTAGTAAAATATCACTATTTTTCTATATTATTTTCTTCTGAATCTCAAACAGAAATGCAATTGGCCACTATATGATTTGTTGATATTACAACCTAACTACTGTCTGTAAATAAAAAATGAAGAGATTGTCATTTAAAATGAGTTTAAATGTAGTGCTTGTTGAATCTTTCTATGATGTCTAGACATACTAAGATACAAAGATTTTTGAGATTTAAAAGAACAGTTGCTGGACACAGTAGCTCATGCCTGTAATCCCAGCACTTTGGGAGGCCAAGGCGGCTGGATTGCTTGAGCCCAGGAGTTCGAGACCAGCCCACGCAATATGGCAAGACCCTCTCTCTACAAAAAGTACAACAATTAGCCAGACATGGTGGTGTGCAAAAAACACCTGTGGTCCCAGCTACTCAGGAGGCTGAGGTGGGAGGATTGAGCCTGGGAGGTTGAGGTTACAGTGAGCCAAGATCATGCCACTGTCCTCCATCCTGGGCAACAGAGTGAGACCCTATCTCAATTAAAAAGAAATAAAATAAAAAGAAAAGTTGCTAACAAAATTATTTTGTTTTATTGTTTATTTTAGGTAATAATAGACGTGGATGGAATACCACTAGCCAGAGATACTCCAATGTCATCCAGCCATCCAGTTTCTCCAAATCCACACCATGGGGGGGCAGCAGAGATCAAGAAAAGCCATCTTTCGGTTCTTTTGATTCTGGAGCTTCAACTAACAGGAAAGAAGGCTTTGGATTGTCTGAGAACCCATTTGGTTCACTTAGTCCTGATGAGCAGAAAGATGAAAAGAAACTTCTGTAAGTGAAAGCTTTCAGGAAAATTACTATCCATTTGCTTATGTTTTTTCAAAAGCACCTACAATCTTTGTATTTTGTTTTCTCTTTTTTTGTAACATCTTTTCATAATACAATATTTTCTTTAAAAAAGAAATAATGCATTATTTTTAAATCAGAGTAAGCAAAAAAAAGTCACCCACAATCCTATCACTCATAGATAGCCACTCTTTTGCTATGTATTATCCTAAACTTTATTTCACTTAAAAATATATTATCTTTCTATAATAGTAGAGTGCCTTCCTAGGGATAATTATGCTTTTTCCACTTTGTGTTGATAACACTATATTGTGAATATCTTTCTAAGATTAGTCCTCCTTAAGTTCATTCTAACTTACAAGTCCTTTACAAAGTGTGATGTAATTTAGAACAACTTGTAAACTTGGAGGTCACTTATACCATCTCTGTCTCTCTCTCTCTATTTATTTATTTAGAGATGGAGTCTCGCTCTGTTGCCCAGGCTAGAGTGCAGTGGTGCAATCTCAGCTTGTTGCAGCCTCCACCTTCCAGGCTCAAGCCATTCTCCTGCCTCAGCCTCCCAAGTAGCTGGTATTACAGGTGCCTGACACCACGCCAGCTCATGTTTTGTGTTTTTAGTAGAGATGGGGTTTCACCATGTTGGCCAGGTTGGTCTTGAACTCTTGACCTCAAGTGATCTGCCTGCCTCAGCCTCCCAAAGTGCTGGGATTATAGGCATGAGCCACCATACCCAGTCACATATCTTATTTATTTCTAAAACTTTTACTTGGATTATCCTATTCAAACTGATCTCATTTGATTTCCTACATTTATTGTGAGGTAGATATATGACATTTCTTGAGAATATTTACGGTAAAATTTATGGCTGGTGTCAAAACAATGCTTGGCTATCTGTAATGTTCCCTCAACTCATGGTGACCAGGATGGAATTTAAATGTAACTGGTTAGTCTTTTACTTCTCCTAATTAAATCAGAACCAGTTGTAGATATTTTGAGCCATGTACCATATACAGCTGATTTTTTTTTAAGTAAATGAACAAACAAAACCTTACTTTCTGCATTTGTTACAGTCCTAAATTTAATACAGTTTTCTCTGTGATAATTCTCCTTTTATTGACATAGTCTAAGTAGGAAGAAACTAATTTACAGCCGAATCTACCCATGGCATTACCACAGATTAGTTGTATGGATGTGGGTCTGTTTCCCCTGTTGCAAAATGCGAGAATTAGATAAAATGATCTCTGAAGTCCTATAACCCACCTTTAAAATATTATGATTCTGTATCACGTAAGTGGTACTTTGTTCTTCCCAGTTAAATGATTATTGATGTTTGTGATAATTAACAAAGAAAGATTAAAGTTACTATTTTAGATTTTAATTCCTAAAAAAAGTATGGTATCTGTGATAGTATTTATGTAAGTATATTGGTTAATGGGTCAGTGTATTGGAAAATCAAACTCATTAACTTCTCTGACATTATAATACCATTTGTAACCATATAGTTCACACTTCTATAAACTTGTGCTTTAAAGAACACTCTTCAGAAAATATAATGGAAAACATTTTGAACTATGTATTTACTAGAATTTAAATTTTCAGTTGTGGAAAACCATTAACAATAAATTTTACCAAGCAGCTAAGAAGATCCTTTACTCTTTTTTGTTTTTTTTTTTTCTTTTTGCAGGGAAGGAATTGTAAAAGATATGGAGGTTTGGGAATCATCAGGGCAGTGGATGTTTTCTGTTTATTCACCAGTGAAAAAGAAACCTAATATTTCAGGTAACTGAAAAATTGTGCATTTAAAAAATATGTTCTAAAACTATTATTTTCTAAAACCAAAAGAATGCCAAATAAAGAAATCAACCACCAACTTAGCTACAACTAGGAGAGTTTGGACATTGTTTAAAGTATTTGAGTATTCTAGCCAAACTTCATAATTTAGAGATTAAGGTTGGAGAATATAGTATTTTAAGACATGTAGTTCTTGGGAGAAAACATTTAAATAAAGCCCAGGAAGAGAGTCTACATTCTTGATTCCCTGTATATACAACTTTGGAACCTCTTAGCTTCCTGTAGTGAATAGAAGAGTCACATCCTGCCTGTCATTGAGGCCTTGGCTGCCTGGTTCTGTTCTTTCTTCCCTATCTTTCCTTCTAAGAATAGTTGTGTGGAGACCCGTTCTGGAGATAATATTTAGATGTGAGGAGGCTTAGCTGGGCTACAGGGACAGCAACTTTTTTTTTTTTTTTTTTTTTAGACGGAGTTTCACTCTTGTCCCCCAGGCTGGAGTGCATTGCGATCTCGGCTCACTGTGACCTCTGCCTCCCAGGTTCAAGTGATTCTCCTGCCTCAGCCTCCTGAATAGCTGGGATTACAGGTGCCCGCCACCACACCCGGCTAATTTTTGTACTTTTAGTAGAGACGGGGTTTTGCCATGTTAGCCAGGCTGGTCTTGAACTCCTGACCTCAGGTGATCTGCCCGCCATGGCCTCCCAAAGTGCTGGGATTACAGATGTGAGCCACCACACCTGGCCTGGGGCCTGAAATAGCATTTGCTTTAGAATATTCTTCTCTCTTTTTTTTTTTTTTTTTGTCCATAGTCCCTAAGCCCTTTCTGGGCTGAAACCTACACCACCAGGCTTTTCCAAGCCCACTCTAGGTGTTCCTGGGCCTCCATCCTTTTGAGGAAACAGTGCGTATCTTGCAGATGGGAGCCCTTGCAATCAATATCGCAGAACCTTGGGATCTTTCCTCTGTCTCAGTTCTAGTTGCTCATTTTCTGTGAGCATTTGCATTGCAACGCTTCTTAGTTATTTATTTACTTGTCCATTTGACAAATATTTACTGAATTTCTTTTGTGCTAAGTGCTAGGAATATAGTGATGAGCAAGACAGACAAGATCCCTTCCTTATGAATCTTACATTCTTGAGGGAGGAAGACAATAAGTGCTGCAAATAAACTAAGATGATTTCAGATGATATTTTCTATAGAGAAACAACAAAGTATTAAGCCCTTAATCAGCTTAAGTATTAGTACTTGAGTATTAATCCATTCCAAATTGAACCTAATGCCTGTTGCCCTAAAGCAGTGGTTCTCAAAATGTGGATTCCTGAATAAAGTTGCCAGATAAAATATGGGACATCCAGTTATATTTAAATTTCAGATAAACAAACAGTATTTTTAATATGTGTACATCCCATGTAATATTTGAGGCACATTATACTAAAAAAAGTATTTATTGTATATCTGAAATTCAAATTTAACTGGGCATCCTGTATTTTTATTTGCTGAATCTGGCAACTTTATCCGTGAGGCCCTTTTAGGAGTTGCCTAAGTTCAAAAATATTTTCTAATAATACGAAGTGATTAATTGCCATTTTTCACTGTGGTGACATTTGCACTGTTGGTGCAAAAGCATTGATGAGTAGAACTACTTGTATCTTAGCATGAATCAAGGCAGAGGCAATAAATTACTAGTAGATGTCACAATAAAAAAAAGTTTAATGCCATTTGAACTTAAGAACTTCCTTTATGAAGACATAAAAATTATTAATTTTGTTAACCCTTGACCCTGAGTACACACCTTTTTAGTATTCTGTGTGACAAAATGGGGAGCACATACAAAGTGTGTCTGCCCCATGCCCAAGTGTGATGGTTATCTTGTGTGATTGTTCATGTTGGACTGAGCTAGCCACTTTTTTCAAAGACAATATTTATTTGAAAGGAATGACAACTATGGTTATTTAGAAGAAAACAGTTGATAGTGTTTATTGCCAAAGAAAAAAATTAAAACTTTCAAGCAAAAATTGGAATTACGGAAAACTTTTTTGTCATCATGAACATGATGACTTCTCAATACTTAAAAATCTCCTCTGATGAAATGGATGGCAACATTCACAAATGTGAGGGCCACACACAGCAGCTCATGCCTGTCATCCCAGTGCTTTTAGAGGCTGAGGTAGGAGGATGGCTTGAAGCCAGGAGTTTGAGACACCCCCCGGAAAACATAACAAGACCCTGTCTCTACAAAAAATAGAAAAATTAGCCTGAGTATGATGGCATATGCCAAGAGTCTTAGCTACTCTGGAGGCTGAGGTGGGGGGGAATCACTTGAGTTCAAGAGTTCAAAGTTATGATGAGTTCTGATGGTGCCTCCACACTCCAGCCTGGGTGACAGAGTGAGACCCTGTCTCTTTAAAAAAATTTTATGGCCGTGCGTGGTCGCTCACACCTGTAATCCCAGCACTTTGGGAGGCCGAAGTGGGCGGATCATGAGGTCAGGAGATGGAGACCATCCTGGCTAACACAGTGAAACCCCGTCTCTACTAAAAAATACAAAAAATTAGCCAGATGTTGTGGCGGGCACCTGTAGTCCCAGCTACTCGGGAGGCTGAGGCAGGAGAATAGTGTGAACCTGGGAGGCGGAGCTTGCAGTGAGCCGAGATTGTGCCACTGCACTCCAGCCTGGGTGACAGAGCGAGACTGTCTCAAAAAAAAAAAAAAAAAAAAAAAATTTTATGTTGTATAATAACATGCCAATGTTTGGGAAGTTCTGCATAACTCGGTGAACTGGCATTTTTAAAATGACTTAGGTGTGATATTACAAAATTATGCATGGCTGAAAGTCCATTCTACATGCATGATAAACCAGTGGATTTTAATATAATACCACAAAAAGTTCATTAGTATGGCTTGAGTCTGTGTTATAATTAACTTTTAAGAAACTACCACTTGTCAAGTTTTGGTGTAGTATCAAAGAAAAATGTCCACAGTTACTTGAAAAAGCCATTTAAGTCTTCCTTTTCCAATACGTGTCTGTGTGAGTGCCCGTTTTCTGCATACACTTCAGTCAGAACAACATATTGCAACAGAATGAATGCAGAAACATATATAAGAATCCAGCAGCCTTCTATTAAGCCAAACATTAAGAGATGTATAAACATAAAGCAAGGCTATTAATCTTACTAAATTTTCATTTTTTGTTTTGGAAAATAGCTTTTTCATTTATGTAGATAGGTAATTGGTTTCTTTTAAATAAATTAATACTAAGTTTCTCAGTTTTCATTTCAAATGTGGTAATTATCAATGTAAGTAACCCATGTAAACAAACATTCTTTGGGGTCCTTAATGATTTTTAAGAATGTAAAGGAGTCCTGAGACCAAAAGTTTGCGTACTTCTATCCTTTTGTGGTATTATATTAAAATCCACTGGTTTATCATGCATGTAGAATTAATCCATTGTATTAATAAATTAACTTTTTCTATGCAGCTATAATAGAATGATACTACTTTTGCCCCATTTTACGAGACTTGAGAAAATTGTCACTCAAATCGTTTTCTGTGTTCTGTGGTTCAGATGAGGAATTCTGGTTGAGCTTGGCTGGAAGGAATAGGAGGCAATTAGGGGAACAATGTTCCTTTAGATAGAGTGGTTATCTATTCCTGGGAGGCAGTATTGGGAATGAGTCCTGCATAAAGAGAGGGTATCAGTTACGGGAAGATTTGGGGGAAAACATTCCTGGCAGTAGGACTAGCTATTGCAAAGGCCCTGAGGTAAGAACAAGGTTGGCAGTGTTTACAGACTAGTGAGGCCTGAATTACTGGAGGAGAGTAAACAAGGGAAAGTAATATGACAGTAAGGCCAGAGAGATAGCCAGGGGCCAGATCATGTTGGGCCTAATTGCACTGGGCAGGCAGCCATGAAGAACTTTAAGCAAAAGAGGGACGTGATCTGATTAGGAAAAGCTAACTCAACATGTGTGTGAGGGGGGATAAAAAAGGTCTGTTGGGAGCAGAGGCAAAAGTAGAGATAGGGAGACAGAAGACGTTGCTGCTTGTGACTAGAGTTCATAGCAGTGAAGACAGAATTGGTCATATTTGGGTTCTGTTGGAGCTTGAACTGGCAGGATACTGATTAATTAGATATAGGGAAAGAGAAATCCAAGGTGATTCCTAGGGTTTTTTGGCTTGAGGCGTCAGTAAAGATGGGGAAGACAAGTCATTAGAAGGAATCCAGGGTTCTGCTTTGAACATTTAATCTTTCCTTTATTCTGAAGCAGGTGTCCTTCGAGTTAATAATAACTGGGTTACAAGGAATTTTTTGTAGAAAATATCTTGAACATTTTTTGCCTTTCTTAGTAGTTTGCCCAATTATAAAGTTACAGCTTTTGGACCAGATGTGGTGGCTCATGCTTGTAATCCTAGCACTTTGGGAGGCTGAGGCAGGTGGATCACTTGAGCCCAAGAGTTTGAGACCAACCTGGGCAACATAGCGAAACCGTGGCTCTACCAGGGTGTGGTAGCACATTCCTATAGTCCCAGCTACCCAGGAGGCTGAGATGGGAGGATCACTTGAGCCCAGGAAGTTAAGGCGGCAATGAGCCACTGCACTCCAGCCTGAGTGACAGGAATGAGACCCTGTCTCAAAAATAAAAAAAAAAAAACCGGTTACAGCTTTTGCTTTAGAAAACTTGGAAAGTACAGAAATATATAAATAAAATAAAAATAACCTGTTATCACAGAGATAACTACTACATTTTAGTATATTTCTTTCAAAACATACACACACAAACATATTTCTTGTTTATGTATACAATTGACCCTTGAACAACATAGAGTTTAGGGGCACTGATCCTCTGTGCAGTCAAAAATCCACATATAAGCTTTGATTCCCCAAAAGCTTAACTACTAATAACCTACTGTAAGAGAAAAGAAAATGTTAAGAAAATCATAAGGGGTCAGGCGCGGTGGCTCACGCCTGTAATCCCAGCACTTTGGGAGGCCGAGGTGGGCGGATCACAAGGTCAGGAGTTCGAGACCAACCTCACCAATGTGGTGAAACCCCATCTCTACTAAAGATACAAAAACAATTAGCCGGGTTTGGTCGTGTATGCCTATAATCCCAGCTACTGGGGAGGCCACGGCAGGAGAATTGCCTGAACCTGGGAGGCAGAGGTTGCAGTAAACCGAGATCACGCCACTGCACTCCAGCTTGGGCAACAGAGCAAGACTTCGTCTCAAAAAAAAAAAAAAATAGAAAATCATAAGGAAAAGAAAACATATTCTTCACATAGTGGAAGTGGATCATCATAAAAGTCTTCATCCTTGTTGTCTTTAAGTTGAGTAGCACAGGGCTAGGTGGGTTTGGTCTCGCTGTCTCAGGAGTGGCAGAGGCAGAAGAAAATCCCTGTACAAGTGGGCCCTGTACAGCTTTGTGTACAGTTGGCTCTTGAGCAGAACTGCAAGGGTCCACTTGTACAGGGATGTACAAGTTGTTCTATGTGTGTATATATGTATACCTATACATATATACATATACATATATATAATTAGGATCGTAATCTAGTTTTTCTTTGTTTTGTTTTGTTTTTTTGAGATAGAGTTTCGCTCTTGTTGCCCAGGCTGGAGTGCAGTGGCGCAATCTCAGCTCACTACAGCCTCCGCCTTCTGGGTTCAAGTGATTCTCCAGCCTCAGTCTCCTGAGTCGCTCGGATTATAGGCATATGCCAACACGCCTAACTAATTTTTGTATTTTTAGTAGAAACAGGGTTTCGCCATGTTGGCCAGACTGGTCTTGAGCTCCTGGCCTCAGGTGATCCACCGGCCTTGGTCTCCCAAAGTGCTGGGACTACAGGCATGAGCCACTGTGCCCAGCTGTAATCTAGTTTTATTTATTTATTTATTTTTGAGGCAGAGTCTCGCTTTGTCGCCCAGGCTGGAGTGCAGTGGCGCAATCTCAGCTGACTGCCACCTCTGCCTCCCAGGTTCAAACAATTCTCCTGCCTCAGCCTCCCGAGTAGCTGGGATTACAGGCGCATGCCACCACACCCAGCTAATGTTTTGTATTTTTAGTAGAGACAGGGTTTCACCATGTTAGCCAGGATGGTCTCGATCTCCTGACCTCGTGATCCATCTGCCTCAGCCTCCCAAAGTGCTAGGACTACAGGTATGAGCTACCGCACCTGGCCCTAGTTTTATATTCTAATTTTTGCTTTCAGTTTGTTTCTGGTACTAAAAATATTAGAATGAGCACCCCTATACATAGTGACCTTTGTTTACATATATAACTATTTCCCAAGGTTAAATCCTGTAAATTGTATTATAAGTCACAGGATATGAATGTTTTTCAGGCTTGTGATGCTTATTAATAATTATCCCTCCCAGAAAACTTGTACCATTTTAATTCCCTTAACAGTAATTTAGGAAATGATACATTTCACCACATTTGGAACAACAGTAAATACCAGCTTTTAAAATTTCTGCCAGTCTGATAAGTAAAGCATTTTATCTATATTTTAAGTTGCATTTAACTTTCATTTATTTACTATTTGATTTTTTTGTGTGTGAATTGCCTGTTCATTATCTTTGCCCAAATTCATTTACTTTTCTCATTTATTTGTAAGAGCTATTTATACATTAGGGCATTAGTTCTTCTCTTGTCATACATGTTAAAATTGCAATTTTCCTAGTGTACAATTTGCCTTGTAATTTTGCTTAGTATAGTTTCTGGCAGATTTTTTAAAATATAAGTTTGAATATAAGTGTAGTCAAATCTTTCTCTTGTGTTTGTTGTTCATTCTACCCCACCTATCTTTAGAAAATTCTTCCCCATTTAAAGATCAAAATAACCAACTATATTTTACTGTAATTTTACATTTTATTAAACATTAAGTAGAGTGTAGGCTTTAAGTTTCTTCCTTATGATTATGAAAATTTTCTAATCAACATTAGATATTTTCTTGTTTAGCACCTGTAGCTTTACTATCAAAATTATTGGCATTTATTTTAAAGATTCCAATTGATTCCTCACTTCAGGTTTTACAGACATTTCACCAGAGGAATTGAGACTTGAATACCATAACTTCTTAACCAGCAATAACTTACAGAGTTATGTAAGTTTGTTTCCTATTAATCTACTGCAATAACAGATGAGCTGTTAATTACTGCTTTCTTTATTGTGGCTTGTATTTTGGCAAAACCGATGAGGTCTATGATCTTTTTTCAGGAGAAGGCTATTTTTCTTTTCTATATTATTTTCATTTAAATTGGTTGGTTATTAAAACGATAGTATATTTTTACTTTAATAATTAGGAATATTACTATTTTTATTACAAATTACCTAACAGTCAGTCCCAGAAATGAAACCGTTTTACCATTTGACAGATATTTATTGAACATCTGTTAGGTACAGATCCAGTGATGAATGCTAGAAAAACAAAGTTAAATAAGATACAGTCTGTAATACAGATTAACATCTTCATATATCAGATATCAAAAAAAAAATAAAAATCTTGACAATAAGTTGAGTACCTGAAGGAAGCAGTTTAAATGCTGTATTTTTCTGTTTCTACAGTCATGATCATGCATTTCAACTAGTACATGTGTTCACCTCCCATCCAAATATAACTAACTACGTGCTGCCAGATGCTGGTGATATTAACCAGATGATACAAGGAGTTGAACAGGGAGAGGGAACTGGAGCTGGAATATCTTTGACAAACAGGCCAAGTCAATGCAAATTTTGCAAGTCATGGGCCATAAAACTGTTACATAAACCTTTCGTGATTTTGGCAAAGAAATATGTGAAGTTTTTATTGAAGAAACTAACTTAAACATACAATATTGAACTGTTATTTTTCTGTCTTCCCTTTTCAGCTAAATTCTGTCCAACATTTAATAAATCAATGGAGGAACAGGGTAAATGAACTGAAAAGTCTAAATATATCAACTAAAGTAGCTTTGGTGAGTATGGGAGAGTTTTCTTGAGGGAAGTGTCTTACCTATTGCTTTTTTGAAGAGAATATTTTACTTTAGATTTGGAAAGCAAAACAAAAATTTTCTGTCAAGAATTATGATACACGTTCCCAAAATAGCATCACTTAAGAGTCAAGGTCTTGAAATAGTTTTCTCTGTGTTCCTTGGTCAGAAAAGCAGAAATAGTTATGCTTTTTTTTTTTTTTTTTTTTTGAGACGGAGTCTGGCTCTGTGGCCCAGGCTGAAGTGCAGTGGCGTGATCTCGGCTCACTGCAAGCTCCGCCTCCCGGGTTCACACCATTCTCCTGCCTCAGCCTCCCGAGTAGCTGGGACTACAGGCACCCACCACCGCGCCTGGCTACTTTTTTGTATTTTTTAGTAGAGCCGGGATTTCACCATGTTAGCCAGTATGGTCTCGATCTCCTGACCTCGTGATCTGCCCACCTCGGCCTTCCAAAGTGCTGGGATTACAGGCGTGAGCCACCGCACCCGGCCAGTTATGCTTTTAAAAGCTTTTTAGGGTAAAGTTGTTAACTTTGGTAGTGCTAGTTTTGAATATGGCAAACTTATATAAATTCAAGTATTTAAAGTTATCTGTATGTAAAAAGAAATTGGCCGGGCGCGGTGGCTCACGCCTGTAATCCCAGCGCTTTGGGAGGCCGAGGCGGGCGGATCACAAGGTCAGGAGATCGAGACCACGGTGAAACCCCGTCTCTACTAAAAATACAAAAAATTAGCCGGGCGCGGTTGTGGGCGCCTGTAGTCCCAGCTACTCGGGAGGCTGAGGCAGGAGAATGGCGTGAACCCGGGAGGCGGAGCTTGCAGTGAGCCGAGATCGTGCCACTGCACTCCAGCCTGGGCGACAGAGTGAGACTCCGTCTCAAAAAAAAAAAAAAAAAAAAAAAGAAATTACTTTGAACAATTATATGAATGCACATTTAGAATGTAATGTATCATTTTGTGACTGAAGAACACAGTATGTTCCTTGTCTTAAACAGAAATGCCTTTGGAAGATATATACCCACGTGTCTCCAAAGATCTATGGTCCTAACTGTAGCAAGTTCATTATCCTTGTAAATAAAGTTATGATGTTTCTACACCCATTAAAAAGTTCTTAAGAATTTTATTTTAAAATAAGATATTCACATTTATAATTTTAATATTTCCAATTTCTCAGATGGTTTCCACTCTGTATAAAGGATATGAGAGTACTGTGTCCCTACACTTAGTGAATGGTTGACAGTCCCAACACCCCTCCCCTTTCTTAAATATGTGCTTCCTGAATAACTAGACTCTTGTGCAAGCTAATTTCTTTGACCTTTTAGTTGTTGTAATGCTATTTGAATTTAGTGGGACCTCTTGGAAGTAGTCTGTCCTTGTGTGGGAGGTGGGCCACCATCACCATGGATGAGAGCTGATGGAGAAAGGATAACTGAGTCCAAAGAACTGTGGAACTTCCCTCAGGGCTGGAAGGTCCCTGCTCTTTGCTAGCTGCCCAGGGCCCCCCCATAGGTGAGGATGTGGGACAACCCACCCATAGCTGACTTAACATGTATCAGTAGTTCATGCCTTCTTTATGCTGAATGGTAACCCATTGTATGGATATATTATAATTTATCATCTGCCTGTTAATGAATATTACACTGAGGAAGAGAAGCCAGACCAAAAAACAAAACCAATAGTGTAGACCATGTGATGCCATTTGTATGAAACTCTGGAAAAGACAAGTCTCATTTGTAGTGATAGAAAGCAGATAGAGTGGTTGCCGGGGACGAGGAGTTGAGAGGGAGTTGACTGGAAAGGGACACAAAAGAACTTTCAGGGAACAAAAATGTTTTGAATCTCGATTGTGGTGGTTGCAAGTTTGTTAGAACTCATTGAAATATATACAAAAAATGGATGCATTTTATTGTATTAGACTATACCTCAAAAAAAGTTGATTCTTTAGAGAATGCTCTTGAGGGCTGGGCGCAGTGGCTGACGCCTGTAATCCCAGCACTTTGGGAGGCCGAGGCAGGCAGATTATGAGGTCAGGAGTTTAAGACCAGCCTGACCAACGTGGTGAAACCCGGTCTCTACTAAAAATACAAAAATTAGCCAGGCATGGTAGCGCACGCCTGTAATCTTAGCTACTCAGGAGGCTGAGGCAGGAGAATCACTTGAACCCAGGAGGTGGAGGTTTCAGTCTCAAAAAAAAAAAAAAAAATTTTTTTTTTTTTTTGAGATAGAGTCTCGTTCTGTCGCCCAGGCTGGAGTGCAGTGGTGCGATCTCGGCTCACTGCAAGCTCTGCCTCCGGGGTTCACGCCATTCTCCAGCCTCAGCCTCCCGAGTAGCTGGGACTACAGGCACCTGCCACCATGCCTGGCTAATTTTTTTGTATTTTTAGTAGAGACGGGGTTTCACTGTGTTAGCCAGGATGTTCTCAATCTCCTGATGTCATGATCCGCCCGCCTCAGCCTCCCAAAGTGCTGGGATTACAGTTGTGAGCCACTGCACCGGCCGGAGAATGCTTTTGAGGCTTCCAAGTGAAAGAAATCACTTATGTTTGCTTTGGATGATTAAGAAAGTCTTCTTGGAAGGAAGGAGCAAGTACAAAGTTCCTTGAAAGGAGGATTAAGATTTCAGTAAGCAGAGATGAAAGACATTTCTAGAGCACAGAATAGCAAGAACATAAAGTACTTTCAGGGAATGGGAAATGTTTAATGGATATTTGGTCATAAGCTTTTAATTATATAATAGTGGATCTACTTCATTTCGAGTATTAAAGTTGACTGGGTATTCTATAAAGGTCCTTTTTACCTAATATCTAGATTTCTCTATAAATGCAGATCTAACCTTATAGACACTGAAAAAAATTTAAAAATATTTTTCTCATTATAATATCTGCTCATTTTAGGAATTTAGAAAGTATAAAAAAGCATAAATAAAATTTAAATCAACCGTAATTCATCAGCCAGAGACAATCACTGTTAACTTACTAATGTACATTTTTTAATGCATATTCATATTATTAGTTGTGATTATACTGTTTATACAGTATTAGATCTTATCCTTTTCAACATCATATTATGGGCATTTTCCATGTTAAGCATTTAACTTTGCCTTTTTTAATGCACTTTTTTCTTCTCTTTTCTGTTCTTTTTTTGAGTCAGAGTCTTACTTTGTCACCCAGGCTTTCCCAGGCTCAAGTGATCCTCCCACCTCAGGTTCCCAAATAGCTGGGACCACTGGCTAATTTTTTGTAGAGATGGGGGTCTCACTGTGTTGCTGAGGCTCATCCCAGACTCATAGGCTCAAGCCCTTCACCATCTCAGCCTCCCAAAGTGCTAGGATTACAGGTGTGAGCCACCACACCCAGCCTTTAATGCACATTTTAAAAAATTGAATTTGTCCATAAAATGTATAGAAAAGATACTGGAGCATTATTCATCAAGCACTTTATTATTTGCACACTTTTTTTTTTTCCAGCTCTCTGATGTAAAGGATGGTGTAAATCAAGCAGCACCTGCATTTGGATTTGGCAGTAGTCAAGCAGCAACATTTGTGTCGCCAGGTAAGTGATAAAGTAATACAGGACTTAACTGATTTAGAAAAAGTAGATTTTATAGGTTTCAAATTATAAGCCTGAATCACCATTTTAAATTACCTTCATAAATTCTACAACCTTCCATCATAGAACCTCAAAGCATTTGGCTCATTAGACATTTGTGAAATGGAGGCCAGATTGGGCATGTTCTTTGAAAGACACTTAAGCTTTAGAAGTCCATTTTAGGAATGGTTTTTCAGGAGTTTCGTAGAAGTACATAGCTATGATAGCAGCACCTTTGAGAACTTTCTTGTCACTGTGTTTAACAGCATAGCATTGTCTTCAGGTGGCAGCTCTGGTGAGGTAAGTAGAAACCAAAGTGAAAGTCTGTTCTCTAGTCCCTGTGGTTTCTCCTTGGGTGAAGGTCAATCAAGGTGAAAATGGGATTGTTAGCAGAAAAGGCAGGAAGCAGGCTTTAGTGGGTAGTTCTAGCCTCTCATTTTTACTTTTCTCATCTCATCCTTCCAGTAAGCTTCTCAATACTGAAACATGACATAAAAAAGAAAGATAGGGGAAGGAAATAATGGTGACATTTTTTTGACTATAATAAATTTTTTTTCTGCTTTGTTTTGTTTTTTGTAGGCTTTCCAGTCAATAACAGCAGCAGTGATAATGCTCAGAACTTTAGTTTTAAAACAAACTCTGGATTTGCCGCTGCCTCTTCTGGAAGCCCTGCTGGTTTTGGGAGTTCCCCAGCATTTGGAGCTGCAGCCTCTACCAGTTCAGCTATCTCTACTTCTGCTCCAGCTTTTGGATTTGGGAAACCTGAAGTTACATCGGCTGCATCATTTTCATTCAAAAGCCCTGCAGCTTCCAGCTTTGGATCACCTGGATTTTCAGGACTTCCAACTTCCTTGGCAACAGGTTCTATTAGAGCTCCAGTGGCCCCAGCCTTTGGAGGTGGCAGTTCTGTGGCTGGTTTTGGTAGTCCGAGCTCACATTCTCACACTGCTTTTTCTAAGCCATCCAGTGACACTTTTGGAAATAGCAGCATATCCACTTCTCTCTCAGCCTCAAGCAGCATCTTTGCAACAGATAATGTGTTATTCACACCCAGAGATAAACTAACAGTAGAAGAACTAGAACAATTTCAATCCAAGAAATTTACTCTGGGAAAAATTCCATTAAAGCCTCCACCTCTGGAACTTCTAAATATTTAAAAGGGCAATTTTAAATACAAAAAAGAATGATGTTTGAAATTGTTTTGAGTGATTCATATAGAGGTGCATATATGCATACATGTATTCATAAGGAATATAAGCTTCCATTAATAGTGATTTTAAATTTTATTTTTTCTTAAGTCTAAATATTTAAGTAAAAAGTAACAAAAACTCAGCAAGCAAGGGAATTTTTTTGTACTGTAATTTTGAATGGAACCGAAAAATTTTGCATGAATAAAGTACTTTTCTCATGCCACACCACTTTACTATCTCACCATTTAAAGTTTTAAACTTTTTTTTTAGGAAGGAAATAATTTCTGGAACTATTAGGGGGAATATGCTCAAATATTTAGCCTACTGTTAGAATAAACATTAATAGCATGACTTCATGTTCAAGATTCTCTCAAAGAGATAAATCACAGTTTGTAAAGAGTGACAAGCTTTTATTTTTAGAACCATAGGGGCATTTCCCCCCATTAGTTTGAGACTGCCTCTCAACTTTGGCAGTCTCATGGACCACCATTTGAGTTTTCTTCAACAATCTTAGGCTGCTTTTTATTTTGGCCTCACTTTTATAGAATTCTATTTATTCATCACATTAGTCTGTCAAATGGATGAGTTGTAAGAGAAACAAATTGTGATCTCATATGAGTAAATAATGTGTGTAGTGTGGTCAGGATTTACCAGTTTCTGTTTCTAGATCTTCTTAAGCATGGCCAGGTACGGTAGCTCACACCGGTAATCCCAGCACTTTGGGAGGCTGAGGCGGGCAGATAGATCACTTGAGGTAAGGAGAGTTCGAGACCAGCCTGGCCAATATGATGAAACCCTATCTCTACTAAAAATACAAAAAATAAGCTGGGCATGGTGGCAGGCACCTGTAATCCCAGCTACTGGGGTGGCTTGAACCCGGGAGGCAGAGGTTGCAGTGAGCTGAGATCACACCACTGCACTCCAGCCTGGGTGACAGAGCCATACTCCGTCCCCTCTCCCCCCAACCCAAAAAAAAAGGAATTATCGTGCGTGTTTGGATCTCCCTGTGTCCTCAGATTGAGGGAGTAAGATTTGTATCTTACGTATGGATGATCCAAGAAACTAACGGCCTGTCACGAGTTGAAGCAGGTATATCAGAGTTCTGTGCTTTCTCAGGCCTCAAAAATTACATAGCTAGCACTGCCAAAGCAGTTACTAACACGGGTCTGGCATTGAGCTGATTTTTCTAAGTGAATATAAAACCTTACGTAATAAAAGATATGCACTCCAAATGATTTTAACATATGCAAAGGATTCAGTCCTCAAAGGACCCGCATTCTCCATTTTGCTTTGTTGTTGTTGTTGTTGTTGTTTGTTGTTGTTGAGACAGTCTCGCTCTGTCGCCCAGCTGGAGCGCAATGGCGCGATCTCCTCTCACTGCAAGCTCCGCCTCCCAGGTTCACGCCATTCTCCCGCCTTAGCCTCGCGAGTAGCTGGGACTACAGGCGCCCGCCACACACCTGGCTAATTTTTTTGTATTTTTTGTAGAGACGGGGTTTCACCGTGTTAGCCAGGATGGTCTTGATCTCCTGACCTCGTGATCCGCCCGCCTTGGCCTCCCAAAGTGCTGGGATTACAGGCGTGAGCCACCCAGCCCGGCTCCATTATGCTTTTTGAGAAGCTGCACGACTCATTTGACAGTTCTGGAACCCCAGTGTTTGGGACAGAATCTATACTATACCCAGGGGATTGAAACCATGCTGGTGTAGAGATGGTAAATAGAGCATAAGTTCCTTTAGAAGGAGCAAGATTAAAACAAAAAGAGCATAAATTCCTTCTTTGGTCTCAAGCTCTAAAGACTTTCCAGTATTCGAACTAATACTTGAATCCTAGAATTTTCCTGCCCCCTGGGATGAGCCCTACACTACCTTTAAATTGCATACAAGCTCCCTGAGGTATCAGTTGAACGTCCCAGTGTCCTGGAAGATCTCAGAGAATTCAAGTTAAAAGCCCATTGTTTCCAGCTGTGCCTGATTATAAGAATCACCTGGGGTGTTTGTTAAATAATATCTCCAGATAATATATCCAGATTACAGGGGCTGCCCTTTGGGATGGGCTTGGGAGTATGTCAACAGGTATTCCTTGTGATCTTTCAGGCAAGTTTGGGAAACAGGCCTATCCAGCTGTATTTGGGAATTTTAATTGTTGAAGTCTGTTTTCTGTGCTCCCATATACACAAAATGTGGGAATTTAACAGGATCCAAAGTTTTTTAAAAAGCACAAATAAGTGCTACGGCTACTAAAAAAATTGAGAAACTAAAGCAGAGAGGCCCACAAAGTAGAATCTAGCACCATGCATGCATACTGGTGTCAGAAGTCAAGAAAACTGGTAACTCCCAGACCTAGGCTAAGGGGCATCGGGGCTTCAAAAAATCAGAAACAGGTAGTAATGAAGTGGCAGCAGCTGGGCATAAAGGTAGGTTGAGTGTTCAGACCCCAATAGGGAGGGAGTAGAAGGGAAAAGGCACCCACAGCAAGAGGATGTGCCAGCATCTTCTGGGTGGTATCTCCTAATCTCATATCCAGTGAGACTAGCAGAGCTGGACTGACTAAGAGGCATACCCTAAAATAGGCAAAAACAGCCTCCCTTCACAGCTGCTGCAATAGCTGTCCCTTTTACCAAAGGCCTAGAGCAAGTGACAGAATTGCAGATAAGGTATAGCAAATAAACTGATTTAACTCGCTTGATTATCTGATCACAGATTAGAATGGGAGAACAGTAACAGCTGAGAGCTGATTAGAAGGGGAGAGAAAGTGAGCTGACATTAAAAGGAATGAAATGATTTAGCTACACAGTATTATTCATAAGAGTAAAATAATTCAACTTGATGCATCAACAATGATTTAATTGTGGTAAATACATACACTGGAATACTAAATAGCCTGTCTAAATGACTTAATAGAGAATAACTATGAAATGTTTTCTGCAATCAGTGGACCAGAGTTTGCTATAAAAATAGCACGTACATTGTGATCCATTTGGAGGGAAATAATATATTCATGGGGGGGAGCCTAAAAGTTAACAATAATAGCTCAAATTTTAGTGAGTTTTTGCTATGTGCCAGACAATGTCCTAAGCATTCTGTATCTAGTATATTAGCAAATTGCCTCATCACAACCATGTAATCTAGGTGCTATTATAACAATCCTCATTTTCTAAATGAGAAGAGCAAGATTTGGAGACATTAAATGACCTAGACAAAGTCACTCAACTTGCAAATAGTTGAGTTGTAATTCAAACACTGAACTTAAAGGGGCCATGTTTAAACTACTCTGCTATACTAGATACTAGATTATGAGGCCACTTTGTCTTTTTTTGTGTTTTCTACAATAGCATTAACTTTATATGTTTCCCCCATTTTTCTTCATATGAGTACAATTTGCAGGTCCCACCCCAAACTTACTGAATCAGTCTGCATTTTAACAAGACCAACCAAATGATTTGTATGCACATGAACATGTGAGAAACTATTTCCTGTGTAAAGGAGATGTACAAAAATGTACACAGTATTGTTTATATAGCAAAACAGAAAGCACCAGAAGTCCATCCACGGGATAATGGATAAACTTTGGCATAATGGAATATAACTGTATAATGACTCTAGTTACTTGTATAAACAACCACCAAAAATGGGAAGGTACAGAAAAGTATGTATGATATACCATTTAAAGTACAAAAGAGCAAAACAATACTATAGTATTATTTATGGATACATAAATATAGGAATAATAGCATGTGGATAATAAGCACTGATATGATTTGGCTGTGTCCCCACCCAAAATCTCGTCTTGAATTGTAATAATCCCCATGTGTCAAGGGCGGGACCATGTGGAGATAACTGAATCATGGGGCTGGTTTCCCTCATTCTGTTCCCATCATAGTGAGTTCTCATGAGATCTGATGGTTTAGGGGCTTCCCCCTTTGCTGGGCTCTTATTCTCTCTGCTGCTGCCATATGAAGAAGGATGTGTTTGCGTCTCCTTCTGCCATGATTGTAAGTTTTCTGAGGCCTAGCCAGCCATGCAAAACTATGAGTCAATTAAACCTCTTTTTTTTTTTTTTTTTAATTATACTTTAAGTTCTAGGGTACATGTGCCTAACGTGCAGGTTTGTTACATATGTATACTTGTGCCATGTTGGTGTGCTGCACCCATCAACTCGTCAGCACCCATTAACTCGTCATTTAAATCAGGTATAACTCCGAATGCAATCCCTCCCCCGTCCCCCCTCCCCACAGTAGGCCCCGATGTGTAATGTTCCCCTTCCCGAGTCCAAGTGATCTCATTGTTCAGTTCCCACCTATGAGTGAGAACATGTGGTGTTTGGTTTTCTGTTCTTGTGATAATTTCCTGAGAATGATGGTTTCCAGCTGCATCCATGTCCTTACAAAAGACACAAACTCATCCTTTTTTATGGCTGCATAGTATTCCATGGTGTATATGTGCCACATTTTCTTAATCCAGTCCATCACTGATGGACATTTGGGTTGATTCCAAGTCTTTGCTATTGTGAATAGTGCTGCAATGAACATACATGTGCATGTGTCTTTATAGCAGCATGATTTATAATCCTTTGGGTATATACCCAGTAATGGGATGGCTGGGTCATATGGTACTTCTAGTTCTAGATCCTTGAGGAATTGCCACACTGTTTTCCACAATGGTTGAACTAGTTTACAGTCCCACCAACAGTGTAAAAGTGTTCCTATTTCTCCACATCCTCTCCAGCACCTGTTGTTTCCTGATTTTTTAATGATTGCCATTCTAACTGGTATGAGATGGTATCTCATTGTGGTTTTGATTTGCATTTCTCTGATGGCGAGTGATGATGAGCATTTTTTCATGTGTCTGTTGGCTGTATGAATGTCTTCTTTTGAGAAGTGTCTGTTCATATCCTTTGCCCACTTTTTGATGGGGTTGTTTTTTTCTTGTAAATTTGATTGAGTTCTTTGTAGGTTCTGGATATTAGCCCTTCGTCAGATGAGTA